CCTCCGTGGCCACATCCCACCATGTCCACGTCCCACCATGGCCACGTCCATCCATGCCCACGTCCCACCACGCCCATGTCCCACCCCGCCCGTGTCCCCCACCCCTCAGTCACATCCAGGTGCGGGCAGGAGAGCACAGCCTGGAAACGGTGACAGGCCAGGAGCAGTACGCCGTGGCCGTGGACATCGTGGTCCACCCGGGCTTCGAGGCGGTGGACGCGGACAGCGCCTACGCCCATGACCTCATGCTCTTGCGCGTGGAGCCACCCTTCACCGTCACCTCCTATGTCCAACCATTGGACCTGCCCACAAGTCCCCCGGCCACCGGCACCAACTGCACTGTCATGGGATGGGGGACCACCACCAGCCCCCAAGGTACGGTGAGGGAACCTGGGGTTGGGTGGTGGCATCTCAGCATCTTGGAGATCCAGGTGTCCATGGGTGGTGGCATCTCAACAAAGAAGGGACCCAGATGCCCAAGGGATGGACATCTCAACTGCTTTGGGTTGGGTGGTGGCATCTCAGCTGGTTGGAGATCCAGGTGTCCATGGGTGGTGGCATCTCAGCAGGGAAGGAACTCAGATGTCCAAGGGATGGACATCTCGACCTACATTGGGTTTAGTGGTGGCATCTCAGCAACTTGGAGATCCAGGTGTCCATGGGTGGTGGCATCTCAACAGGGAACGGACCCAGATGCCCAAGGGATGGACATCTCAACTACTTTGGGTTGGGTGGTGGCATCTCAGCTGGTTAGAGATCCAGGTGTCCATGGGCAGTAGCATCTCAGCAGGGAAGGAACTCAGATGTCCAAGGGATGGACGTGTCAATTGCTTTTCGTTGGGTGGTGGCATCTCAGCAGCTTGGAGATCCAGGTGTCCATGGGTGGTGGCATCTCAGCAGGGAAGGGACTCAGATGTCCACATGTTGTTGTCTGGGTTGGCCACATGTCCCCTCCCACCTTCCCAGAGACCTTCCCCGACACCCCCCAGTGCCTGAACGTCACCGTGGTGGGGAACGCCGAGTGTCAGACCATCTACGGCACCAAAGTCACCGAGGACATGTTGTGCGCCGGCGGGGCTGAGGGTGGCAAGGACTCCTGTCAGGTACCTCCAGGTCCCTGTGTCCTACAGCCATGTCCTCATGGTCCATCACCGGGTCCTCATGGCCCATCACCACATCCCCGTGGCCCATCACCACATCCCCGTGGGCCATCACCATGTCCTCATGGCCATCACCAGGTCCTCATGGCCATCACCAGGTCCCCATGGTCCATCACCACGTCCCCGTGGCCCATCACCACATCCCCGTGGGCCATCACCATGTCCTCATGGCCATCACCAGGTCCTCATGGCCATCACCAGGTCCCCATGGTCCATCACCACGTCCCCGTGGCCCATCACCAGGTCC